AACATATGCTTTGCACTGGAACATTGTCTCATCATCAGGATGCAGAGAAGCAATCCCTAGTGATCCATTGAGATGAATGGTGATTCTTTCATCTAGGGTTGAATTGTGAGGAACAATGTTTCGGTTGCCATTGATGATGCTTGCCAAATCTTTCCATTCTCCMGCTGTTTTGTCCTTAAAACGCCACACTAGCCTGTACGTGGCATTCGGTGTGAAGTGTGGGCAGCTTATTGTGACGTTGCTTTTATAGCAGGCACTTTGACTGGATGTCGATCTACCGATGGAGCCTGCAAAATGAAAGAAAATTCGCAAATGAGTCGCGATCATTCTTTCAAACTAAGATAAGTCAAAAAGCAATGAAAAGACTGCAGAGGTTCCGCAACTTTTAGAGAAGATGTGTCGATGGCTGCGTCTTGTCGTATAATTTTTCCAGCCCCGTCACACTTTAAATTACTGTATCTTTTCCCAGGATCTTTTCAAATGGGACAAACCTTTGAACCGGCCGCCAACTCGATGCGCATGCGCGGTGAACTTGTTCGCACTAACAAACACAGAGTAAATAAACTTAGTCCGGAAATCTCGTTTCCTCAATCAAAAAATGCAGTTATGGAAAAGTAATAATCTCTAGCTAGTATTTTTTTTCCATATAGTTATAGGTGGGTGAATGGAATGTTGTCTAGTCTTCTTGCTCATGTGATTGAATCTAACCTGATGATCTTCACATATTTTAGCATTTGACTCAATTTGACTCGAAGATACAAACTCGAGCTGCTTGGATGCAGAAAACGGTTTGGTATGGGTGGGAAGGGGGAGGGAGGGCAAACTCAGTACGCGGCTTCTACGTTATCCGTCTTACATTAGCTGTAACTAAGCGTTGTTTTGAATGAATTACATACTGGAAGACAATATTGACAGGTATTTCATTGTTACGGCATGTCGTACCGTGTCATATATTGTAAGTCAGTACTGTGTGTTCCCCACTCATAGCATAATATTCTTATGGAAAGCCATTTCAATGTCACGGCATTTCGTTCCATGTGAGTACTGTGAGGCAGTACTGTATGTTTCCAACTCATACAAAAAAAAATCGCGCTCTAGACGTTTGCGTGCTTACATTGCTAGACTTAAGAACATTACTGTCTCCGACTCAATCAAGAAAAACACTTTATAGACCGTGGAACAATGGGTTCAAGGCTGAATAAACATTGGAATTCATGTGGAGCTACCGATCATTATAAGACAAGAGGGTCGATCGAAATGATAATCACATATGTCAAGCTTCCATTGTTGGACGGCGTGAAAATTTGAAAACGAAAACGAAACGAAAGAATGTGTGTTGATGTGTTAACTTTCTCTTTTTTTGTCTGCTCAAAAATCGAGTAGAAATAAATAAAAAAATAAACAAAACGTATTAATACTGTTGTTTAAGGGATCGATTCAAGCAGTGATTCTAATTTCGGAAGTGTAAGTCAGTCGTGACGTCCTAATGTCTTTGATTTACGTCAGCCAAAATCCCCGGCCCCTAAACCATTCTATCCGAACTAGTACTAAGCACTAGACACTTGTCTTACTTATTTGAGCGAGTGGAATTACAACAAATATTAAAGCAAATAATAACGTGCTTGGATGTATGTAGGTGCTGGATTATATGATCACGAGCATCATTGACCCCGAGCAGAAAAACGTAGCTGAGCACGAATTATCAAGCTGTGCATTTCACTTGCACACGAGTCGAACCGCCACTAACATATCAAACCATATCAAACACACTAGTTATAAAATAAGATAATTCTACTTACTGTTGACGACGACGAACAGCCACGCTAGAGCCCGTAAAACACCACCAACTACTCCACGCATTTTCAGTTGTATTGAACAATAGATTTAAGTGTTTTTCAGTTAATTAACCACACTCTTCTATTCACACTTGAGATTGCCAACCTTCTATCGAAACAGATAATACTTTGGTAAAATCTAGTGCAGTTCGACGAACGAAAATCAGGATTTTTTGGTCAGTATTCCAGTGATAGTCAACCAATCTAGTTGTTCCACTTGTGCTTAGGTTAGACTTGCTCCTGACTCCAGCTCTTGTAGGTTTAGTAATGCTCGCTTAGTAGACAACTCTACTTTAATAAGCTTGTAATCCGCGAAAAGAAGCTGAGCTCATAATGTTACTCCTTTTGGGAAAGTACCCTAGTTCTGTCACGTGCATAGTAATGCGGTCTCTTCGTATATCATTTGTTTCCAATAGCAATAGTCAAATTTTGCATTGTTGACTAAAACAATAACCAAAACTATGCAAAAAAGCACGTCCAGTGCAGCTGTCAACGGCGATTCTTTCAGTTTTATTTTGGATTTTTGTATGACCTAAATATCAATGTGCTGTGCATAAATGCTATATTTTTACAAAAAAGCCTAAGAAGGAAAAACAAATGTTGAAGTGGTTTATCGGTATTTCCCTTTTCGTATTTTCCTGTTTCTAATGACCATAAATAAACCATCAATCCGCTATTTAATTCCATCCAAGACTTTTTCAAGTTTAATAATGGATAAATAAAAATATAATATATAAGATCTTAATTTTCTCATCGAGGTTTTGGTTTGACTCAACAGTCATTATTTTTATCGGAAGAAAGCCTTGGAAGGAACTGGTTAGACAAATACAGTTGTTTACTATGTCGATAGTAAGAGGAAATTGGCTTAGTTTGCCGATCTAAATAAGGTGAGGCAAAACGTCATACAACTCAAGTTCCGGTTTGTATTGGAGTCGCATGGATATCTGACGTATTGCAAGGCCCTTCGTGCTGGGCTATGATGAAATGGGCTGCTCACCTGACCACTCCATGACATGTTTTAGTCAACATGGTGCCGACAAAGACATCCCAAAAAATCCCTAACGATGAATGAATGGATACATGAGAGTCGAGGAACGTTTTTAGAATAGAATAGTAATGAGTGCCAAAAGATCTCATTTGTCTTGGTGCAATGAGTCTTTCATTTCAGCTCACTGCCTGTCATTCCCTAGACCATCATATTTTTTTATTTAACGGCTGCGCATAGCAAGACACATGAATATGGATACAAATAAACCACAGTCAATCTTTTTTTCAAGAGAATGACAAATGGTCTACACTAATGGCAAAATGGTGCACCACAACGCCGGAATAAGATATGTTTTGCACTCATCATTAACTGAGGAACGTACATTTGCATGAGAATAGTAAAATGACACCATGATGAAAATGGCTTATCAGAGGGGTTTTTTAAAAATATTTTGACATATGTCTCAAAAACTAAAAGTGAAATGTGAAATTGAATGAGAAATTAATTTATTGTTTGTTTGCACGTATACTAAACAACGTATTTGTAAGCAGAAATAGTTACTACAGATACAGACTACATGATATTCCCCTACTGGCAGAGTCTCCTTTGAAGTTCTCGCTAGCGCGGGAGAAATTAATAGGAGACTCTGCCTCCAGGGTAACATGATATACCTCTTTGAGGGGAAAGGTTGCACTTGTTTACCAGTATCAATCATGCACCTAAAGCAATAAAATCTAGTCCCTTATTTTGAATCTCAGTTGCCCCTCGTTTTACACACGTTAGCATAACCAAAATAAGCTAAAAAAGTAGTTCTGTTGCGTAAGCTTTATTATAAATACATCTATATGACTTGAGATGGTTATATCTTATCATCTCAGTAATTAACGTTATAGAATAACTTATTCAATAAGATTCACATCATTTATAAAAATATAACTAGAAAATAGTTTTATGATCGTAAATAAATAAATAAACTAAATTATCCTATTTACATTAGTCGTACTATTTACAATTTTAAAATTATTTTGGTTGATATTATTATCAATGTTGTTGCATTCGTTTGTGTGTTATATGATACTTTATCATGAATAATACTCCATGTGAAAGGAGTTATGAAACTAATACTTGTCTATAAATAAAAATTAAATACTTTTGTATAATCTAACACTGATGTATTCTTTTAAAATAAGGCAAAATGCTTTTGAATCATTTTGAAAAACCGAACCTAAATATAATAGTCTAATAATCTCTAGTGTCAATAGGGCTATAAATTGTTTTAAAGACGAAAAAGAAAGAAAGAAAGAAAGAAGACTTCGCGTTTGATCAAAGTGACTTTACCTAAAATGAGGCAGTGAGAATAGAATATATCAGTACGGATGTACAATATATTATTCTAACACATCGTTATGTTATAGACTACGTAAGGGATCACTCTACCCAAAATATAACTCAGCTGCTTTCTTCCAATTAT